AATAACCTCTGCCTAAATCATTGGCTGGCCGCTAAGCCATACAGACACAGAAGTGACTCCTAAAAAGCCAGGCTAAAAAGTAAATATGAATTTAAAGATCTGAGTAGAGATACCAGAAGCTGCATGTTATGAGGGGGAACAGACTTCGTAATTTAGGTCCAGAAAACATACCAAGATAAAGCGAAATACTGAGGAAAATGATTCAGAGTTGCTAGAAGATATTATCTGAAATGTACAGTTTTCAATTAAAACTTAGGAGACAAGCAAACAGTAAAGTGTGACCCACACTTAGTAAAAAAACTGTTGATAGAATCTGAGTGGGCCCAAATGTTGAATCTTGCAAAGACCTCAAAGCAGATAGTCTAAGTATGTTCAAAGAACTAAACGAAAATATAATGACAATGATTCAGGAAACAGTGAATCTTAAAACATACATACAAAATATATAAAAAGAATAAAGTGGAAATTCCAGAGTTGAAGTCAGTAACTGAAACGAACAACTCACTAGATGGAACATTTCTGGTTTCCAGTCTGGTGTGTAAGAAGCTGGGAAGTTGCCACTTTGTTCTAACCACAGGTAAAAAGCTGAACAAAATGAAAAAAATCACTAACTCTTCTTAGATCCATAAGAGAAGAAAGGTCACAGGGCAAACTGCTATGCCAAATTTGGAGAGACCAACAGGCAGACATCGAGAATCACAACTTACCAGCACAGTAAGCCCCTGACAGGAACCACTGCAGGACCCAGTGCTAGAAGGGCGACCCTGACTGTGACTGAGGGCTGCTTGGTGGCTCGGTATGGACAAGTCTGGGGGCTCTCACACTTTTTTTTTAAGGTTTTATTTCTTTATTTGAGAGAGAGAGAGACAGAGAGAGACAGAGAGGGAAAGAGAGAGAGGACAAGCAGGGGGAGGAGCAGAGGGAGAAGCAGACTCCCCGCTGAACTCGATCCCAGGAGCCTGAGATCATGACCTGAGCCGAAGGCAGATGCTTCACCGACTGAGCCACCCAGGTGGCCCAGGGCCCTCATACTTCTGTGAGTTTTAGTCCAGGAGCTCTACCAGGTTCTCCAAGTGAATACTGCAGGGGGAGGGGCAAAGGAACCATCTTGAAATACCTCAGAGCACTCTACTCTGTTCTTCTTAACAAGGCCTGTCCTCAGGGGAAGCTGTTTAACTGGAGCCTAATCTGATGGAGTTTTATCAGAACCTAGTTGAACTGGGGGTTAGAGAAACACCCAAATCCAGCTCAGTCCAGCCATCCTGTGCCATCTAAGTGGGGTGTGTGCATGACTGAGAAGTCCACGTGCAGTTCATAATCCAGGGGCAGAGGTTCACTAAAAGCCTGTGATCTCATCGGAGGGCTGCAGAATGCTTCCTGTCTCACATCTTACCACCATGTTACTAAAGGCCCATTTACAAGTACAGTTCCTTTAACCCAAAAACAAAGAAAATCCTGAAAGCAGCAAAAGAGAAGGCCCTCTTCATGTACAAGTGTTCCTCAATAAGGTTAACTGCCTTCTCATCAGAAGCTATGGGGGCCAGAAGGCAGTGGGATGACATAGTTAAAGTCCTGAAAGGAAAAAACAAACCCTGTCAACCAAGAATTCTATACCTGCCAAAACTATCCTTTGAAAGAGAAATGAAGACATTCCCATATAAATAAAAGCAGAGGGAGTTCATTGCTCATATACCTGCCCTACAAGGAATGCTAAAGGGAGTCCTTCAGACTGAAACAAAAAGACACCAGACCATAACTCAAGCCATATGAACACTGATAAAAACAACTACATAGGTAAATATAAAAGCCAGTATTATTATTCCTTTTTTTGGGGAGGGTTTGCAACTCATCTTTTTTCCTCTATGTCATTTAAAAGACAAATGCATGAAACGATACTCATAAATCTGTATTTCTAGGCACACGAGTACAAAGATGTAATTTGTAACAGTAAGAACATGGGGGGGTGGACTGTATGGTAGAGTTTCTGTATACTATTGAAACTAAACGGACATTATTCAAACTAGATTGTTATGTTAATTATAATCCAGAGGGTTTCATTAAAAAAAAATAACAAAAATATGTCAAAAAAAATCAAAGAGAATCAAAGTGATAGAGTGGAAAAAACAAACACCAAAGAAAGCAATAATGAAGAAACTGAGAAGCAAATGACATAAGGCCTACAGAAAACAAATAATGGGGCACCCGGCTGGCTCAGTTGTAGAGCGTGCGACTCTCGATCTTGTGAGTTCGAGCCCCACATTGGGTGTAGAAATTAGTTAAAAATAAAATCTGGGGCGCCTGGGTGGCTCAATCGTTAAGCGTCTGCCTTCAGCTCAGGTCGTGATCCCAGGGTCCTGGGATCGAGCCCCATATCGGGCTTCCTGCTCAGGGGGAAGCCTGCTTCTCCCTCTCCCACTCCCCCTGCTTATGTTCCTGCTCTTGCTATCTCTCTTTGTGAAATAAATAAAATATGAAAAAAAGAAACCTTAAAAAAAAAAGAAAAAAATAATAAGATAACTGAGGTCAGTCTTTATCAGTAACTACTTTAAATGCAAGCAGAGTACATAAACTCCAATTAAAAGACAACTAGAAGGATGGATAAAAAGAAGGACCAAATTCTATGCTATCTATAAGAGACTCATTTTGGGGCCCAAAGACAACAATATATTAAAAGTTACTATATACGTCTTTCATACAAATGTTGTAACATGAACTTTTGAAAAGTTGGGGATACTTGTATAGAAAATCAGAATCTCAATAGATTGAAATTTGTCAAATTGAAATTTGTCAAATTGAAATTTGTCAAATATATTGAAATCCATGAGTACACAGGCTATTAGAAATATTTTTTTAAAGCTAATTTATTACCTTCTCAGGATGAAAGAGAACCAATTCATTATCTTGGAAACGAAGTAAAGAAAACAGAAAAATCTAGCATTTATCCTGCATTTTTATATGAACTGTTCCTCTGGGTAGCCAAATCACAGATGGGGGAAAGCATCTCTTTATGGCTAGTAAATGAAAATGAACAGACAGACAGATCTCTACTTTGCAGTTCCCACTGCATCAGTGCATTAGGCTCTGATCACCAGTGGCATCCAGGGCTGCTACCATCACAACAGAAAAACCAGACACCAAGAACGTCTTGATGAAAGAACAGCACCTAGAGTCTGGCCAAAGAGGGTGAACCTGAATGTGCTCAGCCCCCTCGATCCAGCTGCCAGCTTGCAGAGGAACGTGCTGGACCAGTGGTGTTCAATGATGGGCCAAAGGGCCCAGTCCTTCAGCAAACTGTGAGGCCAGGAGAGGCAGGAAGAAGGGTGTGGACAGCCAGATTCAGACACAGCAGCTTAGTGAACAAGATTATACCACAGTGTTCATACCACAGTTACACCTGAGTGACAAGCTGGAACAAACACCAGGAGGAGACCAGAATAAAGGTCCGGAATAGTGGCCGTTTTTGGAGTTGGGAGCAGACTGCATTTGGTTTGAGATGCATGGAGTGGCTTCGGGGGTGGTTGGCAAATTTGCAGTGGTGAGCTGAGTGGTGACCGCTGGGAGATTACAGTAATCCCTATACTATCTCCTTACTTCCCACATCTGATTTTATTCTATAGCAAGGTAAAAAGTTAACATCTACTGTGAGCTTACAACATGTAAGGTACTGTTCTAAATTTTTTACACATATTAATGCATTCCATTCTCCCAACAACTACGAAAAACAATTCTCACTTCTGTTTTACAGATAAGGAAACTGGAATACAGAAATTAAGTTATAACAAATGTACGAAAAGATGCTACATCTCATTAGGATTCAAGGAAAAACAAATTCAATCATGATACCATTTTCCCAGCTTTCAGTAGGCAGGAATCTGCAAGTCGGATAATATTACCACAGGCAATTATAGAGAGAACTAAGGACTAGGAACCGTACTTCATATGGAAACGGAAACTCTGCATATGCTCTCTACATGGGTTAGGTACTAGGGAAATTTCCGGCAGGTACATAAGAAGACACGTACTAAGATGTTCACAGCAAGTTGTTTGTAAAAAAAAAAAACAAAAACTGGAAAACATCAGAAAGGAACAGAATAAATAAAATGTGGCATATTCGTGAGGGAAAAAACATAGCAGTTAAAATGAACTAAATAGCTCTGCAGATAACATGGATGTCTCTCACAAACACCCGTAGTGAAAAAGGCGGGCTGCAAAATGAACCATACTGTATGATACCACTTGTTTTAAAAATAACCTAAGTATGTATTCTTTGTATATACACTCATGTCTGTGAAGAGCTAATATTTGCTAGAGGGAAACTGAGTTGTGATCACAGCCTCCCAGGATGGGGAGGGGCTGTGACAGAGTGGGGAGTCAAGGGCATTTCAATGTTATCTATTTTGTTTTGTTTTTAAAAACGTAAAGCAGGGGTGCCTGGGTGGCTCAGTCAGTTGGGCATCCGAGTCTTGGTTTCAGTTCAGGTCAAGGTCTCAGGGTCAGGCTCCGCGCTCAGCAGGGAGTCAGCTTGACACACTCTCTCTCCCTCTCCTTCTGCCCCTCCCCACCCCACACATGCACATTCTCTCTCACAAATAAATAAATCTTTAAAAAAATAAATAGGGGCGCCTGGGTGGCTCAGTCGTTGGGCATCTGCCTTCGGCTCAAGTCATGATCCCAGGGTCCTGGGATCGAGCCCCGCGTCGGGCTCCCTGCTTTGCGGGAAGCCTGTTTCTCCCTCTCCCGCTCCCCCTGCTTGTGTTCCTGCTCTCACTATCTCTCTCTCTCTGTCAAATGAATAAATAAAATCTTTAAAAACAAAACATAAATAAATAAATAAAATAAAATAAAAATGCAAAGCAAATGCCCGATAATGGCTCATCAGTCCGGCGGTGGCGAGTGGGCGTTGTAGGCTGTATCAGTCGGGCCTAAAGCTAACAGAGCACGCAGCATGGGGAGGCTCAGCAGTTGGGAGCCGTCTCAGAGCTGGCCTGCCCCTGGTGCAGGCTCGCATGCCGCCCCTCTGAGCCAGGCAACCTTAGCCATAGGTGGGCCCACCTCTCGGAGTTGCTGCACAGATGAGTTAGTACGTGTCCAACTCCAGGAGCAGTGCCTGGCCCAGAGAACGGCACAGGGATGTGTCACCCAGGGCGGAGAGGTACCCCAGAGATGCTAATGGCAGAAAAGACAAGAGAGGTTACTGCTCTGTTCTTTGACCAAGTTGTTCACCAGCACGTGGATAGGTCCGCTTTGTGAAAACTCATCAAGTACGTTTACGATTTATGCACTTTCTGTATAAACAGGACACTTAAATGAAACAGGGAAAAAAAGAAGTGCGGAAAAACGTGTCAAACACCACTCCGGACCCAGCAACAGTCTATAAAGAAAGACGATGACCAAAGAACTAGAGATAGTTTCCCTGGAATATTGACAAAAAAGGAAAATTATCTACCACACATTTCGGTAAATGTTCCTTCCAAAGAGAAAGTAAAAAGGAGTAAGAGCAAAGTTATGCACTTACAAAAAAAAGACACTGTTGCAACAATTGCGGAAATCTCAATTTGAACAAAACATTACTGCTAAATTTGTAAGGGGCGTGTTCTTAAGTATTTATAGACAAAAGAAAAACCCCAGTAATTTCCAAAATTTGCTTTAAAATAGTCCAGGGAAACAAAAGTAAGACAGGAGCCAAACGGAGCCTGGCAAGGGGTGGTCCACAATAAAGCCGGGTATCGGGTATAGACAGGGCGCTGCGCTCTCCAGTTCCGTGACAAAGTCTATTTACAAGTTCTACCCTAAAAAATGGAACTAGTGATGGGTGGGGGGGCATCCTTTGACTCAAGAAAATCCAGTGAACATTCGACCGAGGACAACGCTGTGAGGAGCCACCAGCCCCCAGAGCTCTCTCCTGGTCAGACCCACGACGACCCTGAGCCTGCGGGCGAGTCCTCGCGCCCCCGCACGGCCCCGGGGAGTTACCTGCAGTTCTCCTGGAAGCGGCACTTTCCCTCCAGGAAGAACGGGCAGGGCTTCAAGGACTTGTGAGTGGGGTAGAGGTACAGCACCCGGACGCCCATGGAGCCATCGTCGGCCTCTTCCGTGCCCACAATCATAGCGTTGTGATACTCCAGGGTGCCCCAGGAGCTGTAGTAGGGCGCGTTCACCTTCCTCCCACTCCACTCCTCCTCCTCGTCCTCCCCCTCTTCCTCCTCCTGCCCAGGCCCGCTGGGTTCTGGCTTTGCCTCTCGTTCAGGAACGGTCTCCAGCTCTGTCCCGGGGGCTACAGGCACCTCCACCCCTTCAGCAATGGCCTTCTGGAAAGCCAGGTACTCAGCATCGTCCTGGGCCGGGTGCTCTCCATCCAGTGCGGCCAGCACCTTGCTCTTCCTGACAGATACCAGGCTGGCCTCGGTGAGCTCGATGAGCTCCTTCAGGTTCCCCTGCAGCTGGCGCAAGTCGGCCAGCTCGGAGGGATCCAGGCCGGCACCCAGCGCCAGCTCCACCTGCTGCAGCTGGGCGTCGTAGGTCTGGAGGGCGGTCTGCAGGCTCTCCTCGTCCATCCTGGAAGGACGGAAGGCAGGGGCGGGCCCCTGGGTCCTCAGCGGGAGGCGCGGGAGCCAGAGCTGCAAGGAGGAGAAGCCGCTGAGCCCCGGATCGGCCGCCCTTATTGCCAGGCCACCTCCGCGGGGCTCAGATCAGCCCCGCGCCCGCAGCTGCGCTCAGCGATCCTCACAACAGCCTGCGGAGCCGACGCGGTGCTCCCTCCCGTTTTAGGGACGAGAAAAAGGGCTGGGGAGCTTCTCGGACCCGGCCGCTGGCCCACAGCCTCAGCTCCCTGCCCTCCGCGCCCGGCGCCCCCCGCCCCGCGGCCC